GTAGTATAGGTTCTCTGCATATTGGAACATTTCTCAAGTCGACACTTTATACATGCACGAAATATTGGAACTGCGAAATGTATCGTGCATTCATCAGTTTCAACGGCTTTGCGGGAGAAAGCACCTGTGTTGGGAACATGAAAAATGTATATGTCGGTTAAATTCCCTATAACCCACTTTTTGACGAATTCGTTAACAAAATAAATAGACTGGTGAAGCAACTTAATTCCCAAGAAAGGTTTCTTCGAGAATGAAAATAAAATTACTATGTAATACTGAGAACTGTAATCCACAAATCGAACCGATATATTCGGTCGAAGGAAATAAAGGCCCAATTCTCATACGTCGTGCCGCGAACACGCACAAAATTACGGTTAACCTTGCATTTTAACCTTGCCGTGGTTTAATGCACATGCATGCAAATGACAGCCCAGAATAACGGCGGATCGACAATGGCGCGTAATGCGATATGCGTGGGGACAAAAACTTAAAAGAAGCCCGCTCAATTAAATGTGTTTTAACAATCGTTCTTCTGGCTCATTACATGCAAGTTTTATTTTTATGTTTTACAATCATGCAAGAATACATAGAAAACACCGTGAACGATGCAGAAAAAAGATGATAAAAAGCACACAAGGATTCAAAGTACTTTATTTCTCTAAATTGTCGGCTGGTCACTAAGGATTTGTACAAGGAGTTCCTTTTGTCTAGCCGAACGGGATACTGAAGACGGGCTTAATGTTTTGACTAATTCCTGTAAATATTTGGCACTTATCGATCACAAAAGAGATATCAAAAGAGACTCTTTACTTTCACATTCCCGTTTTCTAGCAATACAGGTAATATATTCTAGGATTTTAAAATATTATTCTAGGATATTTTATTTCGAAACATGGGGCCGGTTGTTCAAACGTCAGTTAACCCTAGGTCAAAGCAAATTTACGTTGCGATCTGATATAAAACATAGATGTTTGTCAACTGGGCGAACTTAATTAGGAAAAAAAAGTGATTTCGCAACTTCGTGTCAATAGCTCACTAATGTGCTAAATAGTCGTCGAAACATTACTGATTGCATGAGCCTACTTACATTACTGAATGAAACCCATGCAACAATTTATATAGATCAAGTATTTTAACCTAAATCATACAGATTGAGATTCACGAAATGTTATCATAAAATACTTTAGCATCAAATGTGGTATAACAACTGCCTAAAAAGACAAAACACTTCTCGACGTTTCGACCAGAGGGCCTTCGTCAGGAGAGTTAACCTGGTTCTATTGGAACGTATCATAAAATACGCTTAAGATTACGCCATAGTATCTGTGTATTTTCACGGCACTACAAAATAATCTGTATCAATAATTCAGAACAATACAGACTTTCGCGAACTTTGCCCACAATCGCGTTCAGGGAAGCTAGCATACGCTGGTTCCTAATTCAAGGGACTGTATTTTTCGTATTTTCGTTTATTCACGTTTAATTCTCTACCTTAATTCGCTTACAAATCAACCATGCACCTGGTTTTCCACTTGGAGTCTAACGCCGCTGCGCGCACAGGATTACGTCGCGAAAATTAATTACTAATTTCAATTTACGTCACATTTTGCATAAATTACAGTACACGAAATTTGGCTCTGATACGCAGACCCTCTTTTCCCCGCCTTTCTATTTCGGGCATGGGTCTGCGACGCAGGCTATCTTCCACAGAGCCCTTTTCTTATTCTCTTCAAACACTACAACAATGTCTCCCTTTTCTATTACCCTCTTGTTTTCGCTCGACTTTGCCTTGTGGAACTCTCTAAGGTCTGTTAAATACTCCTTTCTCCATCTTTCCCAAAAGTGTGCTAATTTAAGTGCTACGTATCTAAATCTTTTACTACATCTAGCTTCATTTTCCTCACCTTCTTCTAAGTTCTCATCTGGCAAAGACTTCAAACGTCAGTGGTCGTGAGTTTAAGGTTTCTTCTACCTCTATCACTACAGTCAGTAGTTCGTCGAATGTATGTTTCGCGTTACTAAGACCTTCCTTAAACATGCCTTTACGGACCCGATCATACGTTCAAAAAATCCTCCCCACCACGGGGCCCGTTCGAGGTTAAAACGCCATTCTGTTTTCGTGCTTTCCAATTCGCGCTTAACTTCAGGGTGGTTAAATAATTTCCTAAGCGCTTTTTCCGTGGCTTTAAATGTTTTGGCATTGTCTGAAATGATTAACGCTGGCGTTCCGCGCCTACTTGAAAATCGTCTAAGTGCTCTTCGAAAGGTTTGTGCGGATAAATCCTCGACCAATTCTAAGTGAACTGCGCGCGTCACGCAGCAAGTGAACAACGCAATGTATACTTTTTCTATTTCTCCTTTTTTACTCTTTACGTACAGTGGTCCGGCAAAATCTATCCCTATTTTAGAGAACGGAAAAGTTTCTCTAACTCGAAATTCGGGTAAAGAAGCTGTGGGTGGGTTACTGTAAGACTTACTTCCCAATCTCTTACATACGACACACTTATTAATTTGTTTCTTTACGGTCTGCCTTCCCTTTGGCACCCAATACCTTGAACGTAACTCCGCTAACGATCCTCTAAGCCTACTATGGTGTACCTTAATGTGACAATCTTCAATAATTAATCGAGTAAATGCGTGTTCCTTTGGAAGGATCAATGGTTTGCGGGCGCATTCTTCTAAGTCGGAATTTCCTATGCACCTAAACATCTTGTTCTCGTCTTCAACTACGCTTGATGACTTTTTGAGTTGATCAGAATTCTTTTGTTTTCTTAAATCTACCTGGGCTAATTTAACCCACGCATATTCTGCGGTAATCAATTCTCCTCGACTTAGATGTAAAGTGGCAATTTCCTCCTGTGTCGATACGTTATTAATCTCCTTTAATTCTTTCCGGCCTTTTAGCTTATTAACGAATCGTGACACTAACGCTGTAATGCGCACAAGCTTTCTTAGCGAACTGTACCTACTTATATTTATGACATGCGAAATGTCGCCTGGTGTTGAAGTTTCAACAACCAACGAACTAATATCCCAACCTTTTTCTCACTATTACTTTCAGTCGTGTCTAAAGTTGTTTCTTTCTATGGCCATTTACTGTCATCCTGACTTAACCATGGGGGACCGTTGGCCAAAGGTGTTTATAGCTACCAATTCTCTTCGAAGGGTTTGTAATCCCAGCGACCCAGCAGCACGCGAAGTAATTAAGGACTTATGGCTACCCGTGTCATGCCCTTTTGCCGTCTGTAGGACAACTCTTGTGCCTGTTACAACATAAGTATTGACTATTTGGTTCTTACTGTCGTCATCTGTGGGGCTGTTTTCTTCTTGTTTGTCATCACATAATGCCGTGTGATGATCGCCCTTACATGCACTACACTTGGCTGGATATCTACACTCCCTAGCCAAATGTCCCTTCCTTAAACAATTAAAACATCTACCAAATTTTAATAATAATTTCTTACGTTCCTTAGTGTCTTTTATCTTCGTGCAGTCTTCATGGCGATGCCCAGGGTTGTTACAAAACGCACAGTTCGACGCTTTACCGGCCAACATTGTGCTCCATCGTTCATTCTTGCGTGCGTGGTCGTTGTTCTTCCCTTGCTGGCTTTCGCTGGTACTCCTCTCTTAACTCAGTCTCATCGCCGAGTCTCTTTAAAAATTGCTCCATTTCCCATTCGTGGTGTTCTTACCCCCTCGTCATTGTCATTCTCAACGAATCTGGCAATTTCTCTAACAGCGAAGGTACAACAAATTTGGCATACGAGCCATGATCGACTTTCAGGGCTTCTAACGATCTAAATTTGCTCTCTACAAAATCGTACAATCTTCGCCGCTTTGTAACATCTCGTTCGCTATACAGTAGTTCAATGTTTAAAAGTTCGTTCACGTAGGCACGTTGGATCAGGGTTGTTTTCCCATAACGTTTTTTCAAGAGTTCGACCGCCGCGCTGTAGTTTTCTGCCGTCAGAGCGAACCCTTGGATCGTGGAGCGCGCAGGTTCTAACAGCCGTCCGCGTAAGTACGAAAACTTGTCTACCTCGCTTAGATTACCGTTTTCTGTATAGCACTCGAAAACCCATCCCAAAATTCTTGCGATTCATGCACTTTACCCGTGAACTTAGGCCCTTCAAGTCTGGGCAATCGTACTTGTTTTGTGACTGGTACGCTACCAGAAACCTTCGGACTAGCCGTTGCGGTGCTGGATGAGTTAGTAGAACTCCTATTTAAAGCGTGTTCAATTTTAGGAATAATTGTCTGTACCTCTGATCTTAGGGCTTCTGCTTCTTCGATCTCCTATCTTTGTCGTGTCATTCGATTTTTCTTCGCTAACGAGGTTTAGTATCTCTTCATCGAGTTTGTCGAGTGTTTTAAGTTTTGCCACCAATGCGACCTTTCGTTCCTCAAGCGCTATCGTCTCGTCGCCGTTCTGGTTGTCGTACCCGATGATTAGCTCTTTTCGTATTTTCGCTTATTCACGTTCAATTCTCTATCTGATTACATTCAATTTTCGGTTCTAATCAACAATCTATTCACGATCAGTTCACAATCTATTGACAATCTACTCACAATCTTTCGCTCATACAATTTAGCTCTTTAAAGACTCTATAACAACTGGTGACTCCCTTTTGGCAGATACAATTTGCAGTTCCGTTCTCTTTCGCCCACAAGGAAGCATTTCTGCGTTATCTTGTTAGGTCCATCGTCCGTTCCAACATAATGTTGGCAAAAACAATCTTTTACTTCACAAACAAATTTAACATAACATTCTACTTGGCAATAACAACTATTTTACTTAACAAACAATCTAACATAACATTCTACTTGGCAACAACAACTATTTTACTTTTCGCAATTTTATGGCACAGACTTAATATACAAATACGCAAAACGTCTACTTGCAGATACCAGCTGAAGGAAGACTATGCAATGCTATATGTTTATTGCATGCATGTGAGCTATAGCTAAGCTAATTAGCATGTAGTGTGTATAAAAAGAGCGCAGTTTGGCAAAATAAAATTTAATTAATACTTGGAAATCGTGCAAGAAGGTGAAAATAAGAATTGGCACAAAGAAGATCGAAGTCGAAATGAAGTTTGGTATTGCAGTGCTTGTCGCCTTGGTGTTTTGTTTGTCTCCATCAGGTAAGGGCTTTGTCTTTAATATACAAGCTAGCTTTTTAAATATTTTTTGATAAAAAAATGCTAATAGAATATATCTGGAATGCATGAATAAGTGTAATTAATATAGGAAGTTAAAAAACCCAGAATTTAGGTAATCTGTCCCTATATTGTATAGTGTATGGTGCAGAGAGCGATGTGGTTCGAGTTTTTGACCACAAGCTGCGTGTGACTGAGGAAGAAATGGAGGAATACTTGGAGAAGGCAGATCTGGAAAGGCACGGATTTATAAAAACCATCGAGAATTCTACCACAACAGATGAGTTTGGGAGAAAACGAAGAAAGACAACGATTTATTACAAAGTCACCTGTGATTGCTCCGAGGTTGAACGCTGGGAAAGAATTTTAGAACAACGTTTGCCCAAGAAGCTGAAAAGATTGGACATTTTTAAAACCACCGTGAATGAAGTGAAAAGTCGCATCACAGGTCGCAAGACAGAGAGCTGCACAGTTGGTCTAGAAATACATTTAGGTCGATGTTTGAAGAAAAGTCAGAAAGAAAAAGTAGGCAAGCGAGCTGCGGCTAAGCGCTGCGGCTGGTGGTCCAAGTGCTGCGGTTGTACAGTATGTAACAGTGCTTCCATTGTTTACTCTGACTAAGGTAAGCGGCTTGGGACAGGGTATACTTAAAGTAGTTGAAAGGAACTGGAACACGGACTAAACCAAAAAAATTAACTAGTATGCTTAGCAAAAATAGAAAGTGGGGGTGGTGATTTGTTTGTACTACATAGGTAGCTATAGTTTTAAAATAATAAGTGATCATGAAAAACTTTGTGTGCGTGGTTTTTTCACCTATCAACATTCAGTCAATTTTCTTATAACAAGACGCCTGTACTGGCGTTAACTCCGGCGCACGTGCCAGTCTTAAATATAGAGCTTCTGAACATAAACAATACAGTTCATATTTGCATTTAGATGCCTTGCGAACCTAAATGTTCGATCGCGAAATTCAGAAGCACATCGTACTTTAAAAAGTATAGAAGTTCAATTGTTCAAAAATGTAAATAAACCGCATGATACATTCGCTTTGTCTTACACTTTGCCTTTGGAATTCGCGCTTATAAAGTTGTATTAAATCTTCAATCCTGTGCAAACTACGACGTGTCAACGCGCCCATACACGACCACATCATCTTGTTAAACGGCGAAATAGCAGCGATATTATTAAAATAGGACCAGAATTTACATGTATTAAATATATTCGTACCCCAATTCAATCTAAACTTAATCGAACAGCATCAAAAGAACGGTTTAGTTTAGAACGGTTTAAAAATCTAGCGCATTTGCATTCGAAGCCTCTGCGGAGGAGAGAGGTCTCTTTACATGCTTTACACAATTACACAATTTCTGTGGTGTGTAACGTCTTTTTTTGGATGCACGCAATACGAATTATATACATTAGACTATGCTATATATAGGGCGACCTGTTCAACACAGTAGTCTGCTTCATGCAGTGAAAATTTTGAATAAGCATACGGATGCATGTGAACGCCTCATTCCGCTTTGCTTCTAAAGTTATCCGCGTGTTGGCGTAAAATGCTCTGGCATGCATCGTAGGATTGAACGGGGAAAATGAAACGTGCTGTACACTTTGTCTTTGCGCCAACGATTTGAACAATGCCATGTGGAGCAACGGATAAAGATGGAGATTCCAACATAACACTTAGCACGCCTCGATTGTTTAACATTGAAACTTGACGACAATCATTACCTCGTATATCAGCCCAAATATGACAAGTAAACTAAATCAAGTCCAGGCCCGCGGATTAATGCATGTCAGAATGTGCGGTAGTTAGGTTCTCTGCATATTGGAACATTTCTCAAGTCGACATTGTTATGTACTTCGAAGAAATACGCAAAATATTATTGAATAGATGGTACTTGACACTCTTTCACGTTTAAAGTACTAGATAATTCTAGATGCACTTACTAGTTTTCGAAGTTTTGTCAAATCGCTCAAATTCGACATTCCAAGACTGAAGGCAAACATCGGCAGCTGAAGACCAGCACAGCCACAGGCCGCTCGGAGACGAAGCTCTTTCAAGTTTTTCAAATGCGAAAATTTGCCAATATCTATCTTGGCTGTCTTTTCCCTACACAAAACAGATCCCTAGTCACTCAACACCCTACTATAGCCAAGAAATAAATATTAACCACTTGGTGACCTACCGATCACTCTCGTCACTATCTCTGACAACATCAATGATCCACTCTGCAGTAAGCACCTCAAGACTAAAGAATGCAATATTAGAATTATCTTCATTTCTACTTTACAAAAGCATATTAATTATACAGGAATACAGCCAAACAGCATAAGAATAAGGCGCTGACAGGCACCTAGATATGCCTAGATATACAAGCAGTTCTCGCTGCCCCCAGCTCCATTGATATCACACAACACATGGGGTATACAGTAGATAGCTAAGATCCCTGTCCATCTGTCTGCCCAACTGCCTTTCTGCCTGTTCCCATCTGATGTCTATAAACAATTTGTAATTATTGTCAGAGGTTATTTTGACCACATACAGTGCAGGCGAATGTATTCTTGATTTTCTTGGCATCTCTCGCATTGAAGAAGATGCATTCCGGATGGAAAAATGACTTGCATTCAATGCATTGCAAGGATGGACGAGACCTTTTTCTTCCAGGGCAGTATTTATTACACACAACAATAGTGGACCACCTGAAGAAAACACAGGATTCCAAGCCCTGTAAGGAATTGTAGGGAATAACATAGGTATTAATGAGTTAGGGAACCAAGGGGCCATCTTAGGAACTAATCTTTAGGCCAGGAAAATTAGTTTTCAATGCCAATGGGGGGAATTTGAATTTTTATTTAATTAACATCAAAGTGCAATATAAAGTGCCCCTGTGTTTACAACAGAAATTGCTTTGCTAATAGTATTAAATATGCACACTTTTAAGGTCTGTTCACACAATCCAATTTTTTTGGATCCAATTAACTTCTGACGTATGAAATATAGTTAGTTATTGATAAAGCAGTACTGCATTGGCTTCAATACATTACAAGACAACAGACTACAAAACACCCATCAGACGTGAATTGGATCCAACAAATTTAGATCGTGTGAACAGACCTTTAGTTCACATAACAGAGTAGGGAGCCAGTTTTATAGGAGATTATAATTTTAACTTTTAATAATAAATAATAAACAATTATTGGATGGGGCTCAGCATGATATCAAGAATTATTCAGACCAAGGTCAATGTTATCTGCCGAGGCAAATGTTTTATTAAACATTTATAGACATCAGAAACGTACCGTTACGTATAAAACGATTAAACAAAGTTTATTTTAAAATACCGTAATTACTCGAATAAACGCCTCCCTCGAATAAACGCCGCCCTCGAATTAACGCCGCCGAGACAAGCAAAAATATCATTAAACGCCGCCCTTAAATAAACGCCGCAACCTTTTCGTCATCGCGGCGTTTATTCGAAGTATTTATTTATAACCACAGTTCAATTTTCATATATAATTATATAAATAGAAAAGACACATAACTTTTATACTTAGTTTTTTTGGGGATTGATTGTATTGGTTAAATTGGCGTTTAAACTACACAATAAATTCAGAGTTGTTACGAGTTTGCAATAAACGCCTCCCTTGAATAAACGCCGCCCTCGAATAAACGCCGCATCTTAATTGCTGAAAATTTAATAAACGCCGCGGCATTTATTCGAATAATTACGGTACTTATTTGATTTGATTTGATTTATTTTCGCGCTCTTTTGGGTTCATGATGCTGGCGCGCCATGGTTTGGGCACGAGAGAGTCCAATATTGGACCAATAATTGTTTTTTTTTTCAATGCAAGTTCGATCATAGGCGGCCCAGAACTGATCTCACTGACCTCGCGCTACGCTCATGTTGTCTGAACAGTCTTATATTATGACAAGGTTGGCAACTCTCACGCCAAATAAGCTAAAAACGCACGACGGTTGACCCAAACACCTTCACAAAACCGCAAATATTTCATAAAAATATGGCGAATAAGAAAAAAAGTACAACACATTAAACTTGAATAATTTTAGTACATTTATATTATATTTTTAGCATTCAAATGTATTCCTATGCATGTATAAAACGTGAATGTTTTTATGGTTTCTGGCAAATATATTTCAAAACCTATGCTGGGGACACCTATACCTTCGTCAAATTTTTAAATTGAGAATAGAAAGCTGATTGGCTGTCGTTTAAAAAGAGCATGCATAGGAATACATTTGAATGCTAAAAATATAGTATAAATGTAGTAAAATTATTCAAGTTTAATGTGTTGTACTTTTTTTTTCTTATTCGCCATATTTTTATGAAATATTTGCGGTTTTGTAAAGGTGTTTGGGTCAACCGTCGTGCGTTTTTAGCTTATTTGGCGTGAGAGTTGCCAACCTTGTCATAATATAAGACTGTTCAGACAATATGAGCGTAGCGCGAGGTCAGTGAGATCAGTTCTGGGCCGCCTATGGTTCGATGCAAAAAAATAATTTTGGACGCTGACAGGCGAGCAGCTGAAATTATGTAATAAATACAAAATATTAAGAATTAACTGATTCTTTTTGACCAATCAGGAACGACAATACACACGAAATGTATAATAATATAACTAAATATATTTGCATTGTGTAATATGACTTTTTGTTTCATAAATTATTTCACCAAGATAACAAAGGACATTAATTATCTTTACTCCTTCACAGACTAGCTAAATTAGCAAATTTGTAAACTTGGATTAACTATGGATAATAAACACAACGTTATACAATGTCTGTAACACAAACAGCAGTCACCCTTTGACCCGGAGTAGTTTACACTAACTTCAAGAATTAACTGATAATTCGTGTCTCAAAGCATAGCCGGCCCAAAATTAGCGACCGAAAAATTTTTCGGCAATTTGTCAATGTAATGTATAATATATATATTAGAATTTGTGAAATTGGTAAAATATGCCCCAAAAAATAGTTCAAAAATCCAAATATCGAGCAAATCCAAAAGCATGCTTTCAGGACATAATGCACTCGGGACGAGGTCGGAATTTGCCGTCAATTTTCGCGCCTTTTAACAGAGCAGGGTTTCCACTTTGATGGAAACTTCCATATTTTATGGAAATTTTGATATAAAGGCAAGTGAGATGGCATTTTTTATGGAAATGATCAAATGAAAAACTTATGGAAATTCTCTAGAACTTTCAACATTTTCTTTCTTCAATTAAAAATTTAAAATCATAGAGCTCATTGATTCAAATTCAATATTTCCAACAAACATAAAGAGACTTTTTGGGATTGCGATGACAATTTACTTTGTTAAGTTTGTTTATGTTTGCTGGTTTTGCGCCAAAATAAGATACATCCGTTTTGCTTGTTATTTATTAGCTATTAGGGAGTTTGAGCAAGGCAACGAAGTACGAAGACGAAGACAAACTTCACAGTTTTTTAACGTCTGCGCATCATTTGCGCATACTCCGCTTAAGGTCAGCGGTGAGGGTTTGACGTCTTCGTCCTGTTGTCCTGGTTTAGGACGAATATTTTGAGAAAGTTCGTTGTGGTCAGAACGAAGTTTTCAAAGTAGGATATATTCAAGCCA